CGGCCACGGGGTGGGCGGTATTAGCAGTCAGTTAGGACACGGAGATCAACAGCAAAGAAACAGCTAACACATCTTGGGGGCCACTGGTAATTGTTCCCAAACTGGTGAAACCAATGGCACCTTTGAGCCCTGATGTACAACTCTGATGAAAAACAAAAACTCAAAACATTCACCCTCTGCCCAGAGGTCTGGGACTGACCAGTGCAGACAAAAAAGGCCAAAGGAACAGCACTGAGGCCCAGGAGCAGCCGCGGGCAGCAGAGCCCAACACAGGCCGTGACGTCCCTTCACTCGAAAGCCACTTCCAGGCGGATCGAAGACTCAGCTTCGTGAAAGCGAGGTCTGACGAGCTTCAGAAGAAAATAAAGGAGAGCGTCTTTACGACCACCGGGAACAGAGGGTTTCTCAGCGACATAAAAAAATAAAGCACACACAGGAGACGGCTGTAGGCCAGATAGGACTACAGCACAACAACAGCTTCCGCGCACAGGAGGTGCCACCAACAAAGGGGACCATGGGTGCCACAGCCGGGCTCAGCATCGCACAGCTGGGGAACCCCCCGGACAGCTGCTGACTGAACAGCCGAGTCTTTGGAACAGGGACCTGTCTTCCAGGGAGAAGCGAGGCTTGGGTACGAGATGGTCATTCTTGGCCAGATGTGAAGGTGGTGACAGCCTGCCGTTACATGTGCCATCACACTCACTAGCATGAGACACGGGTCCCTGTATTGCAGCCCTTTGCCTAATTCCTAACTATGGTTCACTGGTCAAAATAAAAGGACTCCTTGAGGAGAAACCTATCAGAGCTCAGAGCAGCTATGAGTGAGAGGCCTTGGCAAGGTGTGAGCGGAGCAAACGTCACTCCTGAGTGCTATTCTGAGGCCTTCTTAACACGAGAAGGCTTAAACTTCAGTGTAAAACTTAAAAACCATTTATACTTATCTGTGCTTATAAGAGTAACAAGCTTACTGCGGAAGTACCAGCAGAGAGAGAACAGAAGAGGACATGAGATCATGTAGCGATAGCAGGAGTCAGTTCTGTGCCAAACATGCCCACATGTGACACCCATGCACACATGTGTATATGACACACACCAGCAGAGTTCCCTCATGCCATTAGTCTTGAAAATAAGGTTTCTAAGGTCTCACACTATTCTGCTGTTTGGATGGGTCACAATGCACATGCCATTCCCCATCACTGAGCAAGGGATTCCAATTTCTCACACTATAAATAATTCTGCAACAGCTATTTTTGGGCATCCACTTTTGACCACCTCTAATTTTTTTCTTTAAATAGATTCATAGAAACACTGGCCACACAATCCCACTGGCCTTACTGCATTGAGCATCAGCTCTTTAGGAATTTGCCAGTTTAGTAAAAAGGATGCAATCTTTGTTTCCCTGTTTCTCTCTTTTATCACTAGAAATGAAACGTCTTCTGTATTTTTTGGCTAGTTGTATTTCTTTTTTGTGACCTGCCTGTCATCTTAGCTCGAAGTTGACTGGCTCTGTGGGAAATTGACTTCCTGGGCTGCATGGTCAGCCCTGATTCTCGATTAGAGCGACACCTCAGAGAATTTCTACGCTCCACCGAGGCTGCAAACCTTGGGCAGCCCAGCCAATCCACATCAGGCTCTCTCTTCTGCTGTCCTACTGGAGATGTGTTTTCTTAAATAAATAGCTTTTAATGTTTGCCTCTGATAACGGTATCATGTGCTCATTGCAGAACAAAAAGGGAAGAGGCACTACCAGACACCCTGGCAATGTTCTGGTGATTTTCCCATGGCTCTTTCTCCCAGGTACCTAAGTACCCTCTACACATGCATTTATCTAAAACTAGGTAAATAGAGTTGACTATTTACTATGTCACTTTTCAACATTAACAGTGTATGATGCATATTCTTTGAAATAATCAGAGATGCCGTTTTGTTTCCTCATGTTCAGTTATCAGTCCTTTAAAATGACAAACTGCTCAGGGAAAAGCACCGAGAAGGCAGTAGGAGCTACGTGTTTGCTCAGCTCTGTCCCCGTGCCCCAGCGCCATCCTGTATCCCTGTTGTCATCTCTGTCCTCACCTCCATCCCATGCCCTCGTTTCCTCACATCTGCGTCTCCGTGTCCTCACCTGGGCCCTGTGTCCTCATCTCTGTTTTCTCAGGTGCAGCCTGTGCTCTGATCCCCACGCCCCCGTCTCAGCCCTGTCCTCACATCTGTGTCTTTACCCCCATGTCCTCAGCTCCGACAGCAGGGTTAATGTAAAGCCCTGAGGACCTGGGTCCTAGAATCGCCTGTGTGTGTGGGCCAACTTCTCTGAGGGTGTGGCAGTGCTCGGTGGACTCAGAGTCCAAAGGCACTGTGGCTGTCAGGAAAGTGTCGGGGTGGGGTCGGGGGAGGGCGCTTTGATTTCTTCCCTGAGAGGCAGCTGGGAGCCCTGGGGGCTGACAAGGAGCTCCCCACGTGTGCTCCCTGGCAGAACCGGGCTGCAGGGAAGGAGGCAGGCACACAGGGCAGGGAGGGCCACAGTGGCTGGAATGGAAGTGGGCAGCTTGTCTCCTGTCATCTAGACATGGAGGAGGCCACTGAGAGGAACTGGTTGGAGGAGGACCTGCCAGCTCCTGCCAGAATTCGAATTTGAATGGCAGGAGGGGCTGGCTAGGGAAAGGGTTAAGTTTAATTTATCCTGATTTCTATTTAATATCATGCTCTCCCCGTAGGAGCCGGCAGCTGTGAGCTGATTGCGCGCTCTCATTATGCAGTCTGTATCGCTAATGGCCTGTGACAAAGGCATGCGGCTTCCAGGCCTCACCCCCGAGAGCCAATTAAACACACATACTCCCTTCCTGTTTGCAGTGCATTACAATGAAATTAAACTGAATTTCAAAATCATTTTCTCCTAAAGACATCTCTTTACAATAATTAATGCATACTATTCCTTTTCAACTGAAATATTCATCAGGAGCAGTGACTAAAATGTTTGAACGCTGACTGCCCCACATTTTGCGTGGCTGTGCTCAGTCAGCCCTGCTATCGGCAAAATCCACAGGGTTTTGGTTCCTGTGCTTTTAAAGAAAAAATATCTGCAGCTTTTTATCTGAATTTTAAAATAAAAGAAGATGGCTACAAAGTAAGTCAGGTTTCCAAATTGGGACCATTTAGATGGCTAAAGAAGGGATGCATAAAAAGCACAATTAGTTCAAAAGTAGTATTTCCTAAATATCTGCATTTGAAGGACAATTATAGAGACAGACATGTATTAACACAGATGTTTATAGGTAAACCAGATGGGCGTGTGTTAATGTACTGACTACATCCTGTCACAGGCAGAGATAGGAGGGCCCAAAACAGGTCACCTGGACTCCTGAGTCCCCAAAATGGGGCCCTCTACTGACCAGCACCCCAAATTCTCCTGCCAGGGTTCCTGGGGCACTGGTCTCTGTTCTGGGGGCCAACACATATCCGATCTGCAAACCCTTCAGAACCCTCCACAAATCTGCTCTCTGCCCAGTGTGGAGGGACCAGGGGGACAGGACATGCCAACCACAGCTGCTAGGAAATACACTTCTGAGGGTACGTGAGAGAGAGAGCCATGATGGCTGTGGGACCACAGGGTGGACATGGGACTGGCTGGGGTCAGCAAGTCCAGCCCTAAGTGCCACCTGCACGGGGGCAGAAAGGGGGCCACTGATACCTCCCAGTAGGGCTTTCTATCTGTCCCTTCGCCCTCAAGCCCCCACTCGATGGGCCCACACAGCTCCCTGCTCTGTCACTTGGTGACCTCAGGCCCATGACAGCAGCAGACTGGAGAGTGGACATGGAATCCACCCCCTACAGATCCATGCTGACCTGAGCCTGTTGAGATGACATGTGTGCAAGTGTCAGCCCCAGGCAGCACATGGCACAGGGGTTACCAGGCTAAGGGCCATGGCCGTCTATTACACACCCTCTCTCCTGTCCTATTTGCACAGAGACCCCCGGCGGCATCTCATATCACCTGTGGCAGCTTCCTTTCTTCTGAGCTCTGCTCTCACAGAAGGATCAAGGCACGTTTCTGATCATGGGGCCACATCTGATGACATGTGAAAACAGGCCTTGCTTTTAGAAAATACTTCCTTGAGATTATTATGAACTAATGTGTGTCCAAGATATAAGTTTTAGAAATACAAACAGGCAAAAAGAAAAGGAGAAACCACCGAGAATCCCCCATCTAGGAGTTGGGAACCGATGTTCTTGTGTGTGTTTGGATGAGCACACACACTAGGGAATCATGCAGCTGCAAACCTAAACATCCCAGTGTCTGCCGGGCCCAAGGAGGTGGGGGGATGGAGGGACAGAAGGGGACAGAGTGAGGGACAGAAGGGTAGAGGGATGTGGGACGGGCGGGGGCAGGGGATGGAAGGTGCCTCAGATCAGGCTCTGGGTGTATGTCCCAGGTGACAGGATGCCAGTATGGGGGGTGGGGGAGGCACCAGAGCATTCCATCAGTGCTGCCCTTTTCTGCCCAGCGCTGGGGCCCCAGGTTATGACAGGTTTATACTTGCTCGCTTGGGCAGCTGACACAGAGTGCAGACTTTAGTAGGGAATAGGGAAAGGAATGACCCACACCACAAATAAACCACATTCCATCACACAACTTGATCCTGAGTGGAGGAAGGTAAATTTTCAAAGCATGATGGGCTAAGAGGGAGGGTGGGTGGAAGAGGGTGAGGAGGAACTCCTACTTTGAGTGCAGTGGTGACTGGAAAGGGGGTGTGCGTGTCCTGACCCAAGATGGGCAATGGGACCACCAGGAGGGGGCTGTGGCCTCAGGAGCCTCCTCTCAGAGGCTGAAAGGGATACAGCCACAAAGATGTGAGACACAAGTGCACCCCCAGCCCTGTCTCTGCCCTTGACGAAGATTCTGAGGTGTCCAGGTGTGGTGACAACCTGGGGTGGCCACGTCACACTCCTTCTCTTCCCTCAGGCCCCCTCCTCTGGTGGCTCTCCCTCTCTGCTCCAGCCCCTACCTGTTTTAAACCAGCCATCTGAGGTGAACGCTTTCTTCGTTTCTTCTGGTTTGCCCCAGTATTCACGGAACACAGTGGGTCCCCTGACCAAGAGCTCCCCTTCCTTCTCCTTGAATCCTGGGGTCACCTGTGGTGTGGGAGAGAAATGTGCACGTCAGAGCAACGCCTCCCAGGATGGGGTTTCCACCTGCCTTCCCTGTGCCCCTGCCCGACCTGAGGACCACCATGCTTTTCTGAAATTGAACATATTGTTGGGTGATTGAGAAGCACAGCTTTCAACACAGAAACTCAATCAGAGCTGCTCCCTCAGCTCACCCTGCCCTGGGTGGGGCTGTGGGTCATCTCTTCATCCTCAAATAGCTCCATCCTGTAGACTGTAGATTGAGTAAGTGGCCAGGGCTCAGAGCTTGGACCTGGCTGGATTAGCTGTCCGCTTCTAAAAGCCATGTTCTTAGCTTCCCATTAAATCCTGTGTCCAGGGTATTTCTCAGACAAACCATGGAACCCAGGAGAAGCAAGCAGCAGCCCGTGCCCTGCCTGTGGCAACTGGAGCAGCTCCGAGTTGGTAGCACCCGCTGGAGAGCCTTTTGGAGGTGCTGCTTTGCTTGGTGAAAAGGAAGCTGACAGAGCAGTCTACGGACAGGGCGGCTCCAGGAGGAAGACTTGGGAGCCAGGAGACACTGGCACTGGAATTCACGTGGTCGTGGAAGGCAGGGAAGCTCAGTGCTTCTCTAGTGTGACCACAGTGAAGGGCAGCAGGGAGACTGGGTTTTATAAGAAACTGAGCAGGGGCTTCCATGGTGCCAGGAAAAGCACCTGCAGAGGAGGCACCTGTGAGGTCACAGGTCCGTCCTCTGGTAAGCCACCGCTGGCCTATTGGAGAACCCAACACTCCTCACTTAGTAAGAGAACTAGTAGTCAGAAAACCAGCAAGGCTGTGGAAGAACTTAACCATCTGCATCTAATTGACATTTACACTCCAGCCCAAACTAGCAGAACCAACATTAACAAGCAGGACCCATATTCTGGGCCATAAGACATACCTTAACAAATTAAAACAACAACAACACTGAAATCATATCAAGCATGTTTTCTGATCAAAAGCTAGAAATCAATAACAGAAAAATCTCTAAACCCTTGGAAAATAAATATCACACTTATAAATAATCCATGAGTCAAAGGAGATGTCTTAAGGAAAATTATAAAATATTTTGAACTGAATGAAAATACAACCCACCAACAAGGGGGGAGTACAACTAAAGCAGTGCTTAGAGGGAAGTTTATATAATTAAATACATATATTAGAAAAGAGAGAAGGTCTCAAATCAATAACCTAAAGTTTCAACTTAAGAAACCAGCAGTTCAATGGGTACTAGGAGCCGAGAGCGAACCCCAGAGAGCCCTGAGCAGCCCCAGCACCGTTGGCCTAGTTACCATACACCGGGAGGAGCTGCAGCTTCTACAGCCTGCCACCACCACCTCAGGGCTGCCCACACCAAGCCTGGCACCATGAGCAGTGGTGCAGGGAATGGAGGTCCTGGCGACCTCACATCAGCGGTGCCTGCTGGCAGGGCCAAGAAGGTTTTGGGAAACGAAAAGGGAGCCCACTGTATGGGAGAACATATTTGGCAATGATACATCTTATAAAGGGTGAATATCCAAAATATATAAGGAACTCATACAACTTAATGAAAGGCAGATAAACAATCCAATTAGAAAATGGACAAAGGACCTAAATAGACATTTCTCCAAAGAGGACATACAGATGACCAAGAAAAAATGCTCAAAGTCACTGATCATTAGAGAGATGCAAATTAAAATGACAAGGAGGTATCACCTCATACCTGTCAGAATGGCTACCATCAACAAATCACAAATGCTGGCGAGGGTATGGAGAAAAGGGAACCCTAGTACACTGCTGTTGGGAATGCAGAATGGTGCAGCCATTATGGAAAACAGTATGGAGTTTCCTCAAAAAAGTAAATATGGATCGGCCATTAGACCCAGTGATTCCACTTCCAGAAATATATCCTAAGAAACCTGAAACACCAATCAGAAAGAATGTATGCACCCCTATGTTTATAGCAGCACAAATTATAATAGTTAAGTTCTGGAAATAGCCCAAGTGCCCATCAGCAGATGAGTGGATAAAAAAGCTGTGGTACATCTACACCATGGAATACTATGCAGCAGTAAAAAAGAAGGACCTCTTACCCTTTGAGACAGCATGGAGGGACGTGGAGAGTATCATGCTAAGTGAAATAAGTCAGAAGAAGACAAGTATCACATGATCTCACTCATATGTGGAATCTAAATAACAAAATAAACTGATAAATGGAGTGGATCCAGAGACATGGAAGCATGGAACAGAGTGCGGAAACACAGATGGAAGGTGAGGGAGGGTGAGTGGATGGGAGGTAATCAACCAAAGACCTTGTATGCATATATACAGAACTCATGGACACAGACAGTTGGGTGGTGAGTGCCTGGGACGGGCATAGGCTGGAGGGGGTCAATGGGGAAAAGGGGGGACATATGTAATACTTTCAACAATAAAAATAAAAATAAAAAGTTTTGGGAACAGTAAAATGGTTCAATGTAAGAAAGAGATATGGTTTCATCAACAGGAATGACACCAAGGAAGATGTATTTGTACACCAGACTGCCATAAAGAAGAATAACCCCAGGAAGTACCTTTGCAGTGTAAGAGATGCAGAGACTGTGGAGTTTGATGTTGTTGAAGGAGAAAAGGGTGTGGAGGCAGCAAATGTTACAGGCCCTGGTGGAGTTCCAGGAAACATGCAAGGCAGTAAATATGCAGCAGACAGTAACCATTCCAGACACTATCCACCTTGCAGGGGTCCTCCGTGCAAATACTAGCAGAACTACCTGAACAGTGAGAGTGGGGAAAGAATGAGAGATCCAAGAGTGCTCCCAAAGCCAGGCCCAACAGCACCTGCCCTACTGCAGGCAACAGTTCCCACCTTATTGCATGCGGACACCCTATGGGCATCGACCACAGTATTCCAACCCTCAGGTGCAAGGAGAAATGATGGCGGGTGCTGACAACCAGAGTGCAGGAGAACAAGGTAGGCCAGTGAGACAGAATATGTATTAGAGCTACAGACCATGATTAACTGGGGTTCTCCTCACCAAAACAGCCTAGAAAGAACAACAATGAAGTAGATAAGAAAATGCTAAACCACAAGCTGGCAGAGACAAAAGCAGCTGATCCACCGGCCCAGAATTCATCCGCTCCCAAGGCTGAGCAGAGCGGGGGTGAATAAATGCTAGCTTACCATCTCTACCATCTGGTTTAGTCATCCATCAAGAAGAAATGAATATGAAATTCAGCAATAAGAAATGAACAAAAGATTAGAACTGAAGACCTTAGGCTAGGGTCTAAAAGTGGGGAAACTTTTTTCTGCCGATGGCCATTTGGATATTTATTAACATCATTTGCAGGCCATACAAAATTACCAACTTAAAAATTTGCCTGCTACATTTGGTCAAACATTTAACTCACCCCTAAGGCCTCGGCAGGGCCAGCCCAAATGATTCGCAGGCCTTACACGACCTGCAGGCTGGATGTTCCCTACCTCTGCCTTCAGTGCTTGCTTTTTGCCCGTTAACCAGACAGCTAGGACTATCCGCATTATCTATACAGCATGGGGTTTTTATTATTTTTACCTGTAGAAGTCTCATTTTGGTAATGACAAATGAGGCTTTTATTTCTTAAAAGCCTGGTTTTTCTTAATATATCTTTAAAGGTTTTTAAAATTGTTTCATATTTGGTCAAATTAAGATTTTTAAGGACCTTATTTTTAATTTGTAATAAAAATTCAACAAACTGCAAGCACCTGTTAATAAAAGGCCTTAAATAATTGTTTGTGTAAAAACAAGAAAAAAAGAAACTAGAAAAAGAGAAAGCAATTGCAAAAAAAAAATAAAAAAAGAAAAAGAAACAATTATGATAAGACAGAAACTAGGATTAAAAAGAGAAAAGCAATAGAGGAAATTTAATAAATCCAATAAAGCTAGTTCTTTGAAGAAAGATTAACAAAACAGTTAAACTTCTAGCAACAATAACAAAGAAAAAAGAAATGGAAGACACAAATGACTAGTATGAGCAATGGGAAGGGTATCACTTCAGACTCTACATATATTAAAAGATTAATAATGAAAAACTCTATGCACATAAATTTGGCAACTTAAATGAAATTGAATTCAGTTAAAATCTTCTAAAAAAGAAACCTCTAGACCCAGATGGTAAATTCTATCAAATATTATAAAAACACAAAACTCCAATTACACACAAACTCTTCTAGAAAATAGAAGAGGGAACATTTCCTGACTCATTTTATGACACCAGCATCACCGATGCCTCGTGATACACTGACCAGCCTTCAAGCACAGCAGCTGCCAGCACACAGGCTCTGTGGTCACAGACATGTAGAGTACAAAGTTGGGGTCTTCTGGAACCAAAACCAACTCTCTTTCAACTAGAGCCCCAGAGTCCCATTCAATCCCATCAATCCAGCTCAATCCCATTCAACACTTAATCTGAGCCCCTTCTTAGATTTACCTGACTACCACAGGGTAAATACCATAAAGATGGGCAGATTCACCAATTCTAACTTTTGCACAGATTTGCCAAGGGCGTCTCTGGTCTCAGGAAAGTACATATCAAGTAACTAAGATATGTCATCATTTTCTTCTGTTTTAAAAAAATATACTTCTTAGAGGCAGAGCAGCCTCAAACAGATTGTCAAACTGCAGCGGGAAGGCCGGGGAGGGTTGGGTGGCAGGAGGGAGGGGGGTAAGAGATCAACCGAAGGACTTGTATGCATGCATATAAGCATAACCAATGGACATAAGACACTGGGGGGTGGGGGAGGCCAGGGGACTGTCAAGGGTGGGGAAAAAAAGGGACACATATGTAATACCCTTTGTAATACTGTAAGCAATAAAAAAAAATATATATATATATACTTTTTTTAAACAAATATATTTTAATGATTTTTTAGAGAGAGAAAGGGAGGGGGATAGCGAGTTAGAAACATCGATCAGCTGCTTCCTGCACACCCCCTACTGGGGATGTGCCTGCAACCAAGGTACATGCCCTTG